ATTTGTTTAAATAATGTCCATATAAATGTAATATTTCTCAAAAAATTTGAGCAATAATTAATTAATAAAAAATAGAATGTGATACTTTGGTCTCCCCCCCCCTCCCTAAAGAAACACGTGATTTCTGGCGCCTCCCTTAAGGAGTCACGCCCCACTTGGCCAAAAGAGCCCCTGGATTTAATAACCAAAAGCCAACCAGCAGTCAAAACCGGAGCATTCACTAGGGAGTACAAGCATCATGTTGCCGGGGCTTTATCTGCCACAGGAAGGTGCAAAGAGGTGCATGTGATAAGTAACTTAAGGAAATAGTTAGTAGCATCGACTGCCCTCACACAAAAATTGGACCAGTAGGTTGGATGGTTTAAAACTAGTGATAGGATTTCCATCCCCTAGATAGATCCCCCCAAAAATATGAGCTCACTTCAAGAGTGGCGCTTGTACTGCTGGGGCATTAAGAGTAGAATAGGTTAGCATTAAGCTGTAGTTTAGCACTATAGAAGATGTTTGATGTAATTGTAATATCATATTTATATCAATAAACAATGGTATCTAATGCCTATTCTACTATAAAAAAAAAAAAAAAAAAAAAAAAAAAAAAAAAAAAAAAACTAATTATAATTTTTATAAATTTTAAATATTTCAATACAATCAATTTTAATTAATTATATTTAAATCTTTTTTTTTTTTATTAAATATAGAAAAAACTTATTTTATTTTATTTTGGTTTATCCAAATTCAAATAAATAATTTCTTTTTTTTTCTTGTCAAAATTTTTTTTGAAAACATATCTATTATAATAGATAATATACTAATATATATTTAATATATATATATTTTATAACAAAATTAAATTCATGGTATATAATATTATAAAGATAATTGACAGGCTATAATCTTAAAAAATTAAGTAAATCTTAATTTTTATCAGTAGGCAAGCAATTTTATTACTCTTATAAATTACATCTAGAGCATGTATTTATTTTTCATATTTGTAATAATTTATTATACTTTAATAAACATATAATTCCAGTTTAATTACAGGTTAATAATAATATTTATTTTTCTATTGTAAACAAATTAGATATGAAACTTTATTTAATGTTAACAATATTATATCAATTGTTCCATAATATTAGAAGTGAGAAATAACAATAACCTATTGATAAAATATGTATATTTAAGAATACATTTCGGTTATTAATCTTATATTGACAATAAATCCTAAAAGATACTTGCAAGATCCTGTAAAAAATTTTTTTAATAATTTTTATACAAATCGTAATAATTTTATTTGACGTAATAAAATTTTATAGCTTACATATAATGTAAAGAATTTTTTCTCTTGAGAAAAAATACATATATAATTTTTTTTTTAATTTTTAGTGCTATTGTAAAGAATTGTCCTTAAAATATATACAACGCATACATACAAATAACATTAATAATATTTATATTATTTAATAAACTTAAACATTCCCCATTCAAAAGCACCACTAAATTACCAATAAATAATTAATATAAAAAAAAGAAAATTCGAATATAATTATATAGGTGTATTTGCCGTGAGAATTTTGATTATAGAGATTTTTCCCTAAAACAGGATGCTCAAACTATTGAATTTTTCTGAAGATCTGTTAATTCACTTTTAGGTTCTATAATCGTTAATACGGACATTTTTTCAGTATCATCTACATCCAATTGAATTTCTTTTACCGATACCATCACAGGATCAGACTTCTGATTTAAATTAGTTTCAACTGCTTCTACCAATCCATCTGACTTTTCTTCATTCGAAGCACATTCTTTTGAAGCATCTTTGCTAATATGATCCTCGTAATTCGGTATTGATGAAATATTTAATTTTTGAATTTCATTTTCTAAAAGATTCTCTTCACGTGACTTGGTAAAATCTTCGTTCAATTCTTTCACATCTGTCGGAATCACTTCACTTTCAAATACAATATTATTTAACCGGTCTTCTTCAAGCTGTATCGGAGGAAGATTCGCATTTTTTTCGAGAGGAATATTCACCAAGTCGGCTGACTTACCCATGATATTATTAAATACTATTTCCCTCTCATCATTTTCTAATTGATCTTCTATCGATGGGAGAGTCAATTCTTGACTCAAATTAATTTCAATTTCTGGAAGCACTAGTTCGTAAGATTCTTTTATCACGTCAACCAACATTTTTTCCTTTTTAATATCATTCGGCTGAATTTCTCCTTGAATTTGTGTGAAAGGAAGGTCTAAGTTTTGGTATAAATTAGCATCTGGTTTTAAAATGTTCTCCTTAGGTAATTCTGCCAATTTTTCTTTTGATTCTTCCATGGCACTCGATAAAACTGTTATGATCTTATCATCATTTATCTGACTTTCCTGAAGTTGTATAAATAGAGGGTCTAATTTCTGGTCTGACTCAGTTTTTATTTTCGAAATATGCTTTTCTGATGAAGAGGATGATTTTTCTTCGGGCCTTTCCATTGTGTTCGTCAAAAGTGGTTTTGTTTTTTCATGATTTGAATGAATTTTTTGGGCCTGTGCTAATGGAAGATCCAGCTCCTGTATTAAATTAGTTTCAATTTCTGAAGTATGCTCTTGTGGTAGTTCAGTCGACTTTTCAACAGATTCTTCTATTGCATCCGTCGAAACAGTTATTTTATAATCATCCAAATTATTTTCCTCATGGACTTGTGATAATGAAATATCTTGTTGCTGGTTTAAATTAATTTTTGCTACTGAATGTTCTTGTGATAGCTCCGAAGTTTCCTCCACATACGTTAAATCCACTTTGTCACTAAAATGGCCTTCCTCTTGAATTTGTATCAATGGGTGATCTAATTTCTGCGGCAAATTGATTTCAGTCTCTAAAAGGTTTTCTTGTATTTCAGATGAATCTTCAGTGATACCGGTTTCTGAAAGGTGTTCTTGTATTTCAGGTGAATCTTCAGTGATATCCCTTAAAGCCATTTTGACATTTAACTGACCTTCCTCTTGAATTTGCATTGGTATAGGATCTAATTCCTTGTGAATGTTGGATAGTGCTTCCAAAAATTGTCCTTTTGCAAGTTCGGACGATTCTTCCATAACATTTTTCAAAACCAATTCATTATTTAACCTATTTTCCTCTTGAATTTGTACAGACAGATCAGAATCCCGGTAAAAATTAGTTCCAGTCTCTGAAGGAAGTTCTTGTGGTAGTTCAGACGACTCATTAGTAACACCTTTTAAAATTATTTCATTATTTGACTGGCTTTTCTCATTAATTTTTATTGACGACAGAATAGATTCCTGGTTTAAATTGCTTTTAGTGTCCAAAAGGTGTCCTTGTGGCAACTCAGGCGATTCCTCCACAATATTTTTTAGAACTATTTCATTATTCAACTGACT